AAAACATTATGTTATATCCCAACTTCAAGAAGCCAGACTTATTGCAGTGTCTACATCCCCGAACAAAGAAGATGGGTGGCCTCTATTCATGGAAATTCCTTGGAGTGCTCTAGTCGAAATGAACAATGAAGGCGCGAAAGATGCGTGTGTCGGAGATGACATTTATATTACTAAATTCCAGCTTCGTACTGACAAATTCCAAACATTGAATGAAAATACATGGTTCTATCAAGGCAATATTAATTGGCAAGCTACGGCGACTGAAATAGAAATGGTTGCAATACAGGAGTTTAGATTGAAAACAGGGTTTGTTGTAGAAACTAAGAGAAGGGGAAAAGATAGAAAGACGGGTTCAATTCGAGTTATTGCGTTTGGAATGGAGCGGACTTCGGTCCTTTATAAACGTCAGTGTATGCGAGTTGAGTGGGACAAATTAAAGAAAGGCATGTTTATTGACATAGCATTAGCACCAATTGAAGAAGGATGGTTAATTGGTCCGAACTATATTTTACCTCCGGGATGTCATTTCCGATTAGGAACCGAAGTATTAGCAAAGTCAAACTCGAAAATAGCTAGATCAGCACGTGCGTATGAGGGTGAATGGCGCTTTTCAGCAGTCTCAACTATTCCAAGAATTTGTAGAATAACCAAACGCCATACTTTAGAAAAAATAAACTCAGTTGGGGACCTTATTGAAGCAGCCTTAATTGTAATTGGAGAAGAGAAGAAACGTCTTAAATGGAGGCGACCTATTGAGCTTTGATAATCCTGCTTGGATACGGTAGACAAGTGTATTGTAAGTGTGTAGCCACAAACAGAATTTTTTTAAAGCGATTCTGTGACGATCAGGGACGATCGACCGCATGGATGAGAGAGAAAGTGAACAGCTTTAATGTGTATATGGAGTGCAATCGAATAGGCTTAAACTTAAAATTGAAGGACATGAACAATGCATAGTTATCCTTGTCCCCGCACGCACACTAACAAAAGGCACTTGAGCAATTTCAGACTTTATTGAGGCTTTGGCGGGGTTTTAAAGGACTTGCAGGGACGTTCTGTGCAATCCGATAGATTGAGACTCAAATTGGATGGACCAAGTGTGCAACAACCAGAATAACGTGCAGAAGAAAGGCGAACAGATAAACGTGGACCACCAAGAGCTGTGAGGTGTTATCAATGTGGTGGCAAAGGACACAGCGCGCGAATGCAGACGTGTTTGAAGAAAATGCGAGGCGGGCAAAGCAGAAGAGGTAGAGATTTAATTTAAATTAAAAATAAAAAGTGACTTCGGTCAAATATAAATAAACGTGTGTAAAAATTAGTTGACCTCGGTCAAAAATAAAGATAAAACAGAGAATGAAATTGGCGAGGAAATGGACACTTACAAACTTGTACACTCAAGGATTGGAAGGGTCAGGTAAAAGACCAGGGACGGTCTTCCCCGGGGTTGGAGATGTAAGGCGGAAATAGGATTGAGAAATATTAAACAAAACTTTCCCAGCGACCCCGCCTATCCATAACCAATATAATCCTAGGAATAAGTGAAGGAAGAGATCAGTCATTCAATCAGTCAGCTTATTAGTCAGTCAATTAATAAAGTGAATAAGCGCTAATATATTTATTGCCCGATCGGAGGAATTAGTCGTCGCCCGTTTAATCGCTCTTGAGGAGTGAGCGGTGAATATTGTCCGGCCGGACTACTAACAACATTAATTAATTAGTATTCCCTCATATTCTATTATCCTGGGCTCTACACTGGGTATGGATTCAGCAAACTTCTTCTATATTTAGGCGTTCGAGCATCTGATACAATTTTTGGTCTTAGCAATTTATTTAATGAACATTTTGAAAAAATTGGATAAAAAGAGTTTGGATAGATTACTTAATTATATTTTTTATATTTTTAAATTAATGAAGTCTTTTAATAATTACTGCTAAAAAGTTCAGATAGAAATTTTATCAATTTTATTATTTCTTAAATATTTAACTTCAAAATAAACTAGGGTTGCGCGAGGTCGAGGCCTCGCCGATGCCGAGGTCATCGGCCATTTTCCAATCTCGGTCTCGGTTCAACCGGTCCTCGGTCTCGGAGCTTCGGTCTCGGTCCTCGCCAAGAACCTCGCCGAGGAATGAGGCTAAATATACACCCCTAAGAATTGCTTTTTTTCAAAGAAATAGAAGAAATCTGTCTCTCTCTTCCAAAATTCTCAAAATTTTCGCCTGCGGCGCTGGAAAAGGAGAAATTCTAATGACTGGTCTTCCAAACCAGAGGTTTACCAACTCTATTTTAATAGGTTTGTCGACCAACTTAATTTCAACCCAAGCGTTGAACTTGATTCCGTTTTAGAATCTCTCTTGTTATCCTGGTATTAAAACATTTCCACATACCGAAGAATATCTGATTACGTTTATTCATAATGTTCTAGTTGGATTGCTGATCTGATTAATTGCATTAAGAAAATTAGAAGAAATGCGTGGTTGGAGGGAGTGAGATGCCTCACTCGACAGTCTTTACTTTTAAGAAAGATATTAAGTGAACGTTTAACTAATTTAATCAAAAATTATTTTAGATGATCTTATACACAATAAATAAATATTCCAAATAATTCTCTTGTACATAATTTACAAGAGTTTTACTCTTTTAAAAGAAAAAAGAACAAATAAAAGCACACGCTTTTGGAAGGTGGACATTTCCTGTTTTTTTTTTCTTTTGTTTATTTTTTGTTCTCTCGGCCTATTATTTTTTGTATTTTATAAAATTTTCTCTTCTAGTACACAATACGTGTTTGTAATTACAAAAAGACTGGTCCAAATATTTGGATCAGGCAAAAAATATGAAACATTATTCAACCATTTAATGTTATTTTCAATTCATCCAAAAATAATTTTCACATTTAATAAAGTTTTAAAATTGAAATTTGGCAAGCAATATTTTTCCATTGCTTTTAAAACGATTTTATGACAATATCTTTTTAAAAATTGAAACTTGAAATTCTCGCTAAACAATTCATAAAGTTTTAAATTGGTACAAAATGAAATATTATCCTTAAAAAATTTGGTTTAAATTCAGAAAACTGTGTGGGGATGAAACAAAGACTTGGATTTAATTATGCGAGGTCCAGTGTGTTCAACCTTTTGAAAAATTATCCCGTTTCGGGATCCCGATCTCCTATTTTGCCGCGCTCTTTTATAATAAACTAATTTTTGTTAAAATATACCTGATTTTTCAATTTTCTCATAGTTCTTTGGTTTTTGTAGTTGAATTTAGATTTATTGAAGGTTTTTGTGTTGTGTTTTAGTTTTTTAAATAATATTTTTAAATTTTGTTTCAAATTTAATTTAATATTTAATTACTGATTTTAAAGAACATTTTCTATACCATGTTCTTACAAAGGAGAGTACCTCAGGTGTCGGCGGGACTTCGGGATGAAATTTGGTAGATAGATAGATCATACCCTTCTATAGTCATACCCAGCTTAGTTTCCGCTAAATGGTACCGTGGGCCAAGTTATAAGCCCCCAAATTTTAGGATCTCCCCATATAAACACTTTCTATTCCTTTATAATGTATTCGTCGGTGGTTCAGTGGTAACGTTCTCGCATTAAATTTTTTCGCCCAGGTTCGAATCCTGATTGGTAAAACTAATTTATTTTAACATAATTTTCGTTTCTTTTTTGAAAATTTATTTTTAAAATTTTTAAAAAATTTTCTAAATTTTTTTGCAACTTTTTTAAATTTTTTTATAATATTTATTCCTTGCCTTTTAAAGCCCTCGACTTATTCATTTCTTGTGGTCCTTCAAAATGTGTTTTCAAAAAATTTTAAAAAAGTTTCAAAAAAATTTAGAAAATTTTTTAAAAATTTTAAAATCAAAATTTTCAAAAGAGAAGCGAAAATTATGCTAAAAAAATTAATTTCTCCAATAAGGATTCGAACCTGGGGAAAAAATTAAATTCAAGAACGCTACCACTGCACCACCGATGAACACAATAGTAAATAAAAAGAAAATGTTTATATGTAAAAAAGAAAACAGTGGTGGATCCTAAAATTTTGGGGCCTTATAACTCGGCCCACGGTACCATTTAGCGGAAATGATGAAAATTTCGCAACTAAAATAGGGTATGATCTATCTATTTACCAAATTTCATCCCGAAGTCCCGCCGACACCTCAGGCACTCTCCTTTGTTAGGTCATAAAGTGGGCTTATTAAAAAATCGATGAAATTTGAAATAATTTATTGGATCCACTTATTGTAATTGTAAAAACATTTTTAAAAAATTATTTTTAAAATAATTCCAGAAATAACAAGCAACCAATTTTTATTTTTATTTTTTACATTATCCGATTATTAAGCCAATCAAACTAACAAAAAACATTTTTTCCTCTGTTTATCAAAAATTAAGAGGATAATATTAAATATTATATTTAAATCAAGCTTAAAGCTTAAGTCAATGTCGTACGTGTTCGTTCTATTAAATATATTTTGTTTGCAGGAAGAGGGGAAATGTATACAATAGGGGTGACTGGAACTACTTAATTTTTTTCTTGTTTACTGACAAATGAGAGAAAAAAATAATCTGTCAAATAATCCAGTGCTTTTAACCAAAACAATAACTATATAAAACTTACAATACATTTAAATAAGCTTTCAGTCTATACTTTATTATGCTTGTTTGATTGAATATATTCCCTTTTATATGATTTATTTGTTTTTAAATACTAGATGGCATGAATTCAACCTTCTAAAACTAAGGAATTGATAGTGGTACCATAAAGTAAGATTGGGCTACAGGGCGCAGCTTTCACCATCACTTTTACTATAACTGGTAGCTAGCTGGATCTCCCTTCTTCCTTACATTAAACAGGTCCCTGTCCATATACCTCCCATCTAGAATTTTTTGTGTACAAATATGCAATAATTGTGTATTAATCTTGATAAGAGCCAAAAAGCTTGCCCGAAGGCCAAAAACTTTTGTTTAATTTTTTTAATTTCATAGAACTTTAAGGAAATTATGTCATTATTCTATTTAATTATATTTTTATTCGCATCAATTAATCAACTACTAATTAAAGCCCAACAACAACAAAATTTAGCTATACATGAATTACCCCTTCCAACACCCATAATTTTGGAAGATGTTAATTCAACTTCAACATCATTCCCAAATCCTTTAAATTCAACCTCAAGTCTAGGGACAACCGCCCCATTAACCTCTCAATTAGCCAAACCTCCTTCTGATGCCGAGAGAATAAATAGAGAAACTGGGACAACAATGGCAGGAATTTATCAACAATTAGATAATCAAAGTAATAGTGAAAAGACAAAAAAAGATTCAGAAAAGAATTTAACGACTGGAAATGTTGCTAGACGCTCACCAGATTCCTCTACAAATTATGAAAATGAACATAGACACAGTTTGAAACCGGAGACTAAAGGTATTAAACACTTAATCATGAAAAATCGTAGAATTGAGGGTACAGTTATTCCGTTTTACAAAAACATTGGTCAAACAAAATTTTAAGTCTCATATCTCAAGATAAAGGTTCACAGCAACTTAAAATAGGCAAAGGCTGCAACCAGCCCTTTAGAGTCTTAGCTAGAGTCTTAGCAGTTTTGAAGCGAAAGAAAGAGAAAAGCATGTATCTCGGTCCAAATTTATTTCTGAGACTAAAGTTTGGTACCAATCGACTCGGCTCGACGAGACGAATCGATTGATATATAAATCGAAAGACTTTGGAACCGTCTACCGGCTAAAATAAACATAAAAGCATTTAATACAAAATTGAAGATTATAAAGCGAAATATCGGAAAATTTTTGGGATTATTTTTTTAATAGAATCTTTAGGGTATTATCTATGAAATTGTAAGACAGATTTTTAAATCTATAGACATTTGTCGAGAAAAAGCTCAAAATTGGCAGCTCAAAAATGACAATATACTTATAAAAATAGCACGCGAAAAAAATAGAGTGAAAAGAAAAAGAGAAAAATTCAGTCTGCACTGAAACGGGGCTTGGTTGCAGGTTAAGTTGCTGTGAGGTTATCTAATATCAGGGCGTACAATTCAAATTTCGTATTTTTAACTGTTTGTCATTTGCTTTCGTTTTTTCCTTTGGTTTTTAAAATTGTTATAGCAGTCGAATTTCGGAGGATATATGATCTATACATATATGCAAGCATGTTTTTTGAGGAGTTTAACTCCCCATGCAAAAATATACGGTTTTACCGCCGGCTGCGCTTTTTATTGATAAAATTAGCTATGCTAATATAAAATAATGATTGAATTTTTATATATTAAGTATAAATGTTAATGTTGTAAGACTATTTATAAAATTTTTTGTTTAGATGAAATGTTTGCAAGAATGGATTCTGATGGGGACAATATGATAACATTGCAAGATTATATGAATAGAGATCGTTACTATGTCGAGTCTGTTAAGGCAGAGTTTAACGATATCGACACAAATGGTTTTTTAAGATTTTTTAAAATCAAAACTAAAAATATTTAAAAAATTGAAAAGGTGATGGAATGGTTTCGAAGCATGAATTTGATGCTTTTGTTCGTCGATTAGATGAACAGAGGGAGGCGGCAATGAGAAATGCATCCAACTTTACCCTACAGGTCTTATTCTTAGAAGTTTAGAATTTCATTTACACATTTTTATTTATCAATGTCTGTAAGTTGCCTCCCTTCAGGATTGAAGGATCCAGAAAAAATCGTGCTATCTGAAACTTTTCGGATCAGATAATGACCCAAATATTCGAAAACTACATATGTTAAGTAAAAATTGAGTGTTAAAACACTCATACAAAAATAAGGAAGATACAAATCGAGTATATAAGTATATACTTTCAGCTTATTATTCATTTATAAAAAAAAGTATTTTGAATTAAATATATTAAGTAGATCATTTAATAGTTAATATCAAATAAATCGTTCAAATTGATCAAAAAGTTTTTTTATCTAATTTAATAAATTTCAAAATGTTTTCTACACCACTACTTTTCAGAGAAATGATGCAAATAAAGACGGGGAATTGAGTGAAGAAGAGCTTGGGGCCTACATTAAAGGAACACTACAAAGAAATATAGATAGATTACCTCAAGTTTTTAGTCAATTTGATAGAGATGAAAATGGGAAGCTTAATTTGGAAGGTTGGAAATTTAATGAAAGAAGAATTTTTTTGAAAATCTCAACTTTCAGAATTTCACAATCTCGACTTCAATTTTCCTTGGGAAAAGTTTCCTTTATCTACGGAACAATTACCCCACAATAATCATCAACAGGTCCAATTACTTTCCAGTTTTAAAATAATTTAAATAATTTTTAGCTTCCCCCAACATTCTTCAGTGCTAACGGCCCCGTTCCACCTCCCTTTGTTAATGAACAAGCAGCAGCTGCAATCCCTTCTGATTTCAGTTCTTCACCTTCTATGGGAGGGCACATGCATGCATTGCCTGTTCCCCAACCAATTAGAATTAATTAATTTGTTTAAAAAATAAATTTAAATAAAATTCGCATTTTGAAAGATCGTAAACGTTGCGGACTGATATTTGCTGACACCTTCCCCAAAATTTCAATTTAATATAACTGTCATAAAATTTAATTACGAATAATGTTTTTTACTTTAATGATATGACAAATTATAGTTTTTAATAATTGTCCGTAATATCAATCCGCATCAGGGTGGCCCTTTCCAAAACACTAAAATAGGGCGCAGCCACTCAAAAATAGGGCAAAAATAGGGCGAAATCGGTCAAAAATAGGGCAAAAAATAGGGCATTATTTAAAAATCTTAAAAATAATTGAAATTTCAATTAAAAAGCTTCATTCTAAATTTTTTAACTAGGTTTAACTAAATTGAGCAAATGGAGGGATATAGGGGGATTTTGAGCAATTATTAATGGAATTGGGTTTAACAGAGTTATCAAGGGAATTTAGGATCAAGAAAGTTATCTAAGATGGATAAATGGTTAGAAACTTGTAGTTATCTAGGGATTTGTGAGGATTCAATGGATTTGGGGGTAGTAGAAACGTCGGGTATTTTTTACGTCCAATTTTGGTGGAATAAGTGCTGGGATTGGGGGATTAAGAGAGATTCGAGGCACTTGGGGATTAATCCCCCGATGCCCTTCATATACCCTTAGTTATTATAAATTACATTATACTATCCAACTTAGTCTTCTATCCACGTTAATCCTCGCATACACTATTAATCTCACAAATTCATTGATATCTCTCTTTATCATACAAATCCCTCGTTATCCAGTCAGGCCCCATAATCCTAGTACCTAAATCCTTCTAAATCGTCTATAGTAAAATCCGCCTATATTCCACTCAAGCCCTTCCAATTCCTAAATTTCACACAAAGTCTTCACAGATTCTTCCTTTTTCAGCGCCGCAGGCAAAAATTTTGAGAATTTTGTAAGGCCAAGAAGCCAGATTTCTTCCTTTTTTGCGCCGCAGGCGAAAATTTTAGGAATTTTGTAAGGCCATGAAGCCAGATTTCTTACTTTTTTTGCCATTTTATTTACGAAATTCTAAAATTGTATAAATTTTACAAAATGGTAAAAATAGGGCAAAAATATGGCAAATGTAAAAATAGGGAAAAAATAGGGCGGAAAGGTCGAAAATAGGGCAAATGCCCTGTAAATAGGGCAAAAGGGCCACCCTGATCCGCATATGTCTGGCATTCACAATATAATTGATAAAGTATTTTAAATAATTGGCTAAAATTAATTACTTTAACTAAAAATGAAAACGCCAAAATATTTTAAGGACGCTTAGTTCCCTTCCTTTTGGTTTTCTGTATCTTGGTTGATTCAGAAAACCAAAAGGAACGGTTATGAAAGCTAAGAGCCAAAATCTTATATTCTGCGTTAAGTTATTTGTGCACTAGGCTGCACTATATACATTTATCTCATAGAATTATTACTTCTGATTTAAATTCAATTCATATAATTTTGGTTTACTTTGTAAAATAAATATTTACCCATAAATAAAAGCATAATAAAAACATATTTTTCATAATCATTTTTTTAAAACTTTATCATTTCTATTTATTCGATTCCTTTTGAATTTCTATTTGCTCTCCTCTTTAAATAATATCCCCGTTGTGTTTGGCCACAAGGATTACATAAATAACGAGCAAGTTCAGAATGACGGCGCCAAAATTTTGTTTGTGTAATTCCGCAAATATAACATTGACGATTGTCCTTAAAATGAAAAATGCTAAAAATATTCAGTTAAATGCCGCCAGTTGCCCACCCCCCATATCCAATATATTCTGTATTTTATTAATAATCAAATTTTTGGTTAGCCACAGAAATAAAATTGCTAGTTGAGTCGGATAGTTCTATTATTTCTTGTTTGTTTCAGGAAAAATTGACAGCATACTTTTGAGAGAAGGAAATCGAGTGGATAAAATAAATTACAGGGTGCGGCAAAAGTTCCCGTACTTTTGTTAAGCATAAAATTTTTTTCAAATATTTTCTTAACTTTTATAATTTTTATAAAAAAGTGTTCATTAATATCTAAGGAATGAAAGATTATAACATATTTCTAAAATGTCCCCTTTCCGCCAAGATATACGCGTCCAAACGCTAACTGAATTTGCCCACTATGGTCGCGCACTCATCCAGAATAATTTAATCCAAGCCCAGTTGCAATCCCGTCTTTCACAACAGACGAAATCATAGGGAATTGCTTCCTAGGAAAGTCCTTGCTTCCAAAATTGTTCAGAAGAGCCACTTTTCACAATCTGTAATGGTGTGGGCCGGGATTTGTGCCAATGAATCCATGGCCACAGCAACAATGGATCCCTGGGCACAGCAACAATGGTGTTGGCCGGGATTTGTGCCATTGCATCCCTGGTCACAGCAACACTTTGGTAAAACCAATTTTATGTTGCAGCAAAATTGGGCCGCTTCACATTGGGCAAAAACAATGATTGGTCTCTGCGAAGAGTTGTTTCCAGGTTTTTGGGGCAAAGACATTCGGCCAAGTAACTCCACAGATATGAACGCTAGGGACACACAGTTTGTTTATGATTGAAGCAGAGACTTTCACGGATATGATTTACATAAACCGAGGCAATTAAAGGGAATTGCAACTGAGATGGGACTTAATTACTGTGGTTGATTGCGCGACCATAGTGAGCAACAGCAGTAAGAGTTTGGATGCGTGTATCTTGGTGGAGGGAGGACATTTCGAAGATTTGTTATAATTTTTCGTTTCTTTACATTTTCATGATCACTTTTTCATAGATTTTGTAAAATTTAAGAAAATATTTGAAGTAAATTTTATGCTTAAGAAAAGTACGGGAACTTTTGCCGCACCCTGTAGACAATCATCGATAAATATTAACCTTTTCAATTTTAAGCCATAATTGATTCGTTCTATTCTTTCCATTATTTCTTTTTTTATATTGGAAACAGGCATTACACAAATAATGTTCTTTAATATATCGGTACCATTTTTTACATTTTGTATCTTCACAATTGAAACAATGTCGCTGTTTACTATCATTAATTTCACCTATATAATAATTAGGAATAGAAAAATATTTACTGAAGATGTTTCAGGGATTTAGGGATATGAGTAAAATTTGTAAAGATATGTAATTTATTATATTTGTTACAGGAAAGCGGGGAATTCATTTACAATGTAATATTTCTTGTTCAATAAATGACATAATAATTTTACAGAGAGAGTTTATTGTCTGTATGAATTTACTTATTTTATTGCCAATATAAATAATTTTGTTTATTATTTTTTTCGAATATTCAACTTTTTGTTTTTCTAACAATTCAATTTTATATCCAATTAAATTAATTTCCGTCCAATAACTTGACAAAAGTTTGTTTTTATAGGATTCGATAATTTGTTTTAATAATTCTTTTTTATTTATTTTTATATTTATTAAACTCTCATCTACTATAGAAGTTTCATAATAATTATTATTCATATCAATAAAATTATTATTTAGGAGCACCTTAAATTTATAATAAAATTACCAAAACAAAGAGACTTGTGTTAGAATTATACAATGACCAATGTTGCCGCTTGTACAAAAAATCTTCAATTACTGGTTTCGGGTACAAAAAAATGCCGGGTTTAGGGCGGCAACTCTGCAATGTACCTTCCACATTTTAGAAAGTGTAAGGCTGTTTGTGTAACCAAACGTGAACAGTGTAATGACAAAAAACAGATATTGAAAACACTATTTAGTGGTATCAAACTGATTTTTGAAACTCAAATAATCAAAATATAAAGTACTCGTTTTTCCAATTTAGGCAGAATTTTTTGAACAATTTCATTATTGGCAATTTCAATCAGAATTTTCTTTTTTAGTTGAATTATATAATTAAAATTTTTGTTTAATTCAGCATTAAAAACATTATTTTCAGGATTTACTTCAAGTTTACGATACGATCCAGTTTTATCATAGGGATAATTTTTTATTTTGTTTTCCGGGTTTACATTGATTATCAAAGCAAAACGCTCTTCTTCTTTAACATTTTTTAAATAAATAAATTCTTTTTTTTCTTCCCAATCTTCTTTGATTTTAACACTAAGGAATATTCCATTGGAATTTAAACAAATATTTAACAATAAAATAAAAATAATGATTAATTTAATCATCTAAAAACAATGACACTTTTAATAACAACGTTCAAATAATAAATTATAAAGTAATGAATAATTAAATTTTTATAATTTTTACCTTTAAAAATAGAAAAATATGACCAATATCCCTATGACCCTCCCGATATCCTCAGAATCCTTCACTAATCCTCCGATATCCCTCTTAATCACTCAAATCTTACGAGGAAATATTAGCCATTGAAATTAGAGATGTTTGAAACAAAAAAATCATCGAAAATCGGAAATCGAAAGAAATCCAAAAATATCGAAATCGAAAATATTTTTCAAAATCTTCCAAATCGAAAGAAAAATAACCTCGAAAAACGAAAATCGAAAAAAATTTTTAATTGGAAAATAAATTTTTGCTATGTTAAGGCTCACAATCAGTTGGAACTTTTGCTTGAACTCGAAGGAATTGGGGAAAACTAATGACTAGAATCGGAGACCTATTCAAATCTTGGCTCCGGAGTTGTTCCCAGACTCCGGGTGGAAACAAGATTAATATTTAATCATAAGATCTGTGTGGAGTAAAAGGGATAATGGAGGATTTAAGTAAAATCCCCTGATATAGTACAGAGCTAGGCCGATTTACTCATAGGGTTGGGCGGTACCTGGCATAGGGTTCTGGCATGAGGGGGCTTCCAAATCCACCTTAATTCACCTCAATATACCGGAGCCGAAGCATAATATTGTTAATAGATCAGGGCTTCCTCGAATTAGCGCCGCAGGCGAAAATTTTGAGAATTTTGAAGGATCCTTAAGCCAAAACTCGTCCATTTTCTGCGGCGCAGAAAATGGACACCCATTGGGCTCTATTGCAGAAAATACGGTAGTTTATCT